TAACATCTACATAGGTATCATATACATATTTTATATTTTTGTAAAACCTTTTTTTAACAGTTATTATTATCTTTAATACTTATATACATTTMAATTAATAGAAACTTGCAGTTTGAAAATAATATCTACTTATCAGTTATCAATATATAATATTATAAGATAGATTCAGGTTCAAAATTGGTAGGTATCGACAAAAAATCAAGTGTACCTAAAATATCAACGTGTATAAACCAAAATAATAGAGCCCTTAAGCATACTTAAAAACCTCCAATAATCTAAATTCTAATTAATTATCAAAGAAAAAATGAGTGTGAGCACCCTGTATTTATACCAATTTTTTAAAGTAGACCATTGAATAAATAGCATCGCTTTAATAAATTAATTAATTCTTAAATTCCACAATTAAAAATAAACCTATAGTAAAAAATATCAAAAATACCACACTTCCTTTTATTTTAATTTAAAAACAGCTATTGGGCATGGAATAGAATACTGATTCTATATTATATTGGTTAATTTTAGTGATTATGTACTCTATAAAGATGCAAATAAGATAAGAGCATAATTTCCTACGTACAAATGAAAAACTTACTATACWTGTATATTTTAATTGCAACGTTAACAACTTTTTGCCATCCTCTAGAATGCTATAAAATAATAACGATMAAATACTATTTTTAAATGGGAACAAATGTTAAACAGTATTGCATTAAATTTTCCAATTTACACTTAATCATTACACTTGTCACTTAGACAATAAAATCTACACTATATTTTAACTAAGTATAGGTACTATTGCATACATAATATATACAGCTTAACAGATTATTCTAATTTGCATAAATATTGAACGAAGATAGTAGACACTACTAACAAACTGTAATATGATTATATTCAAGACTTTGGTACCTTCCTATGACCAACCTGGCTGCCCAAATATTTATACTTACTAATCCAGGAGTTAAGTTCACTAAATCTATCTATTCCTATTAAGTATTTCTATATGATAAAAATTAAATTTTAATACAAATTATATACTTAAAATTCATCATTATTTATTATTAAACTTTCTTGTGTTCAAATACCAAGATAACATTTAATATTTTAATAATATATAAAGATTTTCAATTTTCAAAATTGTTTCGATGTTTTCAAATTAATTTATTTCTTTAAGAACATAATAAATATTAAATATGTACCAACTATTACCTACACATATTTTTAAGTATAKCTATTGAAACTATTATGTATAGTATACAATATTTATAGAAAGGAATATTATAGTTTAATTTACAGAAATATGTATATGTATTAGAAAAACTTTAAAATATCATATATATTCATTTAATATTTCTGTAAGTTATCTAATTGAGTATTTTATGGAAGCCGTGTCTTAAATTTTATAAACTTTTAAGTAGGTATTACTTTATTTGTTATTGAACTTTTTACTAAGCAAACTATTTTAACTAAAGCTTTACGTACGTATAAATCGAGTAAAAAYTGACAATTAACCCGGATTTTTTATCTGTAGTAATTTAAAAATGATGAACCTACTAAATTAATCAATAGTTCTAACCTCTAATGTTTGAATATTTAAAAATATTTACATAGTTTTAAAATTATAAAATGTTATAATTATATTATAATTAGTGTTTTATAAATTTATATTCTAGAATATAAAAAAAAAAGAATTATTTATGTTTTAGCTCATTAATTATTTATATAATGAGTATATAGTGAGTTAGTATATATGAGTTTATATAATTAAATAATAATAAGTAGGTACCTAAATATAATAATCTGTTGTACATTAGGAGTAACTGTATCAAACTATTGAATGTATTACATTTTAATTCAATAATCATTGCATACCTACCAAAAATTATTCTGAGGGGATACAGACTGTCAGTCTATAATATTACTACCTAAGTAATTTGTATGATATTACTGCACATTGTGATGAAAAACATTTTTTTGCTATTAGTCATTAGTATTTAGTAMAACAATACGTCATTTTGCGAAAAAATTGTATTTAAAAATGTCATTGTGCGTATATAAGAGAATATAGATATTATATAGTATAGGTACATTCATAGGCGCAAATAGGGAG